ATCTGGGGAGCTGGAAGATGAGAACTGGCGACTTTGTAGTACAACTTTAGTACGCGGAGCAACCTGTGGAGCTGGAAGCTGAGAACTGGCGACTTTCTAGTACAACTTGAGTACGCGGAGTATCAGGGGAGCTGGAAGATGAGAACTGGCGACTTTGTAGTACAACTTTAGTACGCGGAGCAATCTGGGGAGCTGGAAGCTGAGAACTGGCGACTTTGTAGTACAACTCTAGTACGCGGAGTATCTGGGGAGCTGGAAGATGAGAACTGGCGACTTTGTAGTGCAACTTTAGTACGCGGAGCAAGCTGTGGAGCTGGAAGCTGAGAACTGGCGACTTTGTAGTACAACTTTAGTACGCGGATGAGTCATCTCTCGCGCCACCCGGCTCTCTTGAGAGGTTGACAAATTTTAGCTACTTTGCTTACTCATAAGTGGCTGCTACAAAAGAGTCATCGTGACGTTAGTATGTGTGTACTTCACCTTCATGACAAACGATGTTCGCTTGGAATACACGAGTCGCTTGTCATGATCGTGACGTCGTTTACTCTCAGGTCGCCCTGTTCGTGGAAACTTCAGTGTGAAATGTACGTTCTTCAGTTCTATTTGAACCTCTTCAGCGTTGTACTTGCGCAACTAAGGTTGACGTTGCGCTGCCGTTGCATCGACGCATCTACGTCTACACCCCCTCACCTCTCCACATTTACATCTTCACACGCTCACATCCGCAGATCTACCTCTCCACCTCACCACACCCACACATCTGCACATCTATATCACATCCGTACATCCACTACAGATCTATATCGCACCTGCGCATCCACACTGTCACTCCTTCACACCCACCCTCTCTTTCTCTCTTTCTATACCTCTTTTCGACAGTGCTGGACAATTACGTGTCTCGCTCTCGGGCCAACCGTCGTCTAGTTCTTTCTATAAGAGAAAAACACTTGGAACCTCGGAGTTTTGAGGTCCTCGGAAGGGGGCATTGTCTTGGGATGATTATTTCATGGGCCGCGACCCGAACATCTCACGTGATGAAGAAGCGATCCTCTCATGTGACTCGGAAATTTCAAGTTCGAGGACTGGCCTTCCTCACTGCCATGCGCTCCAAGGATCCCTCAACCCAGGTCGGTCTGGTTGACAGTTCTAGCTTTTCTTGTTTCTTTTTCCGTGACACTCACTTCAAGCTGTCTTGCGCGCAAACAGATGCTACCAAGAAAGGCATATATTAGTGGAAAAATCATGCACTCATGCAGGCAGAAGGTTGGGAATCGAGTTTCACGGACACAACAGAGGCTCAGTCATTTGTGCCAGGAAAAGGCAGCAATACCTGCGCACTTGCGAGTTTTATGGTAGCGTAGCCACGTGCGGACTCAGCAAAAAATGACGAATAACAAACAAATAGCAAGAAAAAGAAATTATCCCGGCAAGAGACCCCAAACAGTGTGTGTGAGGTCTGTAAGCAGAAAGTCTAGAGATCTAGACGCATTGGGGCCCAGAGAGGTGATGGTCATGGTGGTGATGAAGTGAAGGTGGGCGTGAGTGAGTGTGGATGAGAGTGAGTGTGAGTGTAAGTGAGTGTGAGTGAGAGTGAAGGTGCGTGTTAGTGAGTGTGGGTGAGAGCGAGAGTGAGTGAGTCAGAGTGAGAGTGGGAGGTGAGTGAGTGTGAGTGTGAGAGTGAGAGTGAGAGTGAGGGGAGAGTGAGTGTGAGTGAGTGCGGGTGATGCGAGAGTGGGTGAGTGTGAGTGCGAGTGTGAGTGAGAGTGAGAGTGAGTGAGTGCGAGTGTGAGTGTGCGAGGGAGAGTGAGTGTGTGTGGTGTGTGTGTGTGGGAGGGGGAGAGTGAGTGAGTGTGTGAGGGAGTGAGTGCGGATGAGAATGAGAGTGAGTGCGAGTGCGATCGAGAGTGGGAGAGTGAGTGTGAGTGAGAGTGTGAGTGAGAGTGTGAGTGAGAGTGAGAGTGGGAGTGTGAGGGAGTGTGAGTGTGAGTGAAAGCGGGAGAGTGAGAGAGCGAGCGTCTTGCCACGAAATCTGCACTTCGAGGTTCACCAAGTGCTGCGCCTGCCACGAAATCTGCACTGCGAGGTTCACCATGCGCTGTGCCTGCCACGAAATCTGCACTTCCAGGTCGACCAAGTGCTGGTTCACCAAGTGCTGCGCCTGCCACGAAATCTGCGCTTCGAGGTCCACAAAGTGCTGCCCCTGCCACGAAATCTGCACTTCGAGGTTCACCAAGTGCTGCGCCTGCCACGAAATCTGCACTTCGAGGTTCACCAAGTGCTGCACCTGCCACGAATCTGCACTTCGAGGTTCACCATGCTGCACCTGCTACGAAATCTGCACTTCCAGGTCGACCAAGTGCTGGTTCACCAAGTGCTGCGCCTGCCACGAAATCTGCGCTTCGAGGTTCACAAAGCGCCTGCCACGAAATCTGCACCTCGAGGTCTACCAAGGCCTGCGCCTGCCACGAAATCTGCACTTCGAGGTTCACAAAGTGCTGTACCTGTCACGAAATCTGCGCTTCGAGGTTCGCAAAGGGCTGCGCCTGCCACGAAATCTGCACATCGAGGGTCACAGATTGCTGTGCCTGCCACGAAATCTGCAAACGAGCCACATGTGCAAAAGTGACGATTCACTGCACCTGTCACGAAATCTGAGCTGCTTGACGATCACCACCATGTCCAAAGTGCTGCAGGTGCCACGAAAACTGCATTTCGAAGTAAAACAGCTCCGATCCCTTGCACCTGTCACGAAAAGTTGCATAAAGTGACCACCATGTACCAAAATGTGCACGGCGCCACAACGAGAGCGCGGTCGCTAGAAGCACCCGCCGCGGGCCCCCAGATCCTGCGAGCCTGCGCAGTCGAAATGCACATGGACGATGTCGAGAGGCATGAATGTACTGTAAATAGCAATGAATTGGCCGTTCACGCCGGCGCGCTTCAGCGATCTAAGCGTCAGCTGCTTTTCACTTACCGTAAGAAGCCCTCAGTGTCAGTGTGCCCACACTGTTTGGGGAAGAAGAGACAACAAAAACATAAAGAATACATAACCATAAGAAGAAGACATTAAAGAATAACAATACAGAAGAAAAGACGAAAAAAAGAAAAGGAGGAAGAAAAAAGAAAAGAAGCAGACGAACAGAAGAAGAACGTAGGAAGAAGAGAGGAAGAAATCTAAATAGAATAACAAACAAAAAGAAAAGAGGAAGAAGAGGAAGAATAAGCAGACAAAGAGAAGAACAAAATAAGAGCGTAAGAAAAAAGAAAAGACAAGAAGAAGAAGAAGAAGAAGAAGAAGAAGAAGAAGAAGAAGAAGAACAGAAAGAAGAAGAAGAAGAGAAAGAAGAAGAAGAAGAAGAAGAAGAAGAAAGATAATTTATCCCCGCAAGAGACCCCAAACAGTGTGTGTGAGGTCTAGAGGTGTAGCAGCAGAAAGTCTAGAGATCTAGACGCAGTGGGGTCCAGACAGGTGATGGTGGTGACGAAGGTGGAGATCGTGGTGATGGTGGCAGTGGTGAGTGAGTGAGTGAGTGAGCGTGACAGTGGCAGATGGAGGCTGAGGGGATGCAAGCCCCAGAGCCCACCAAGAGAAGGTGCCCTAGGACTGTTGCTACAACCTTCAGGGTTGCGTTGGACGGCAACCCAATTTTGATCTACAAAGAGCTGGGGCCGTCAAGCTTGCCCACCTCCTCATTCTGATTACAAGTGCTATGTTGTCTATCATGCACCGTGAGTGTGATAGGTTCCTTGCTACTGGACGTGTAGATGTGTCCATTCGCCGACCCTCTTGACAGATTGCTTGGGAAGAATGCGGCCGCTATCCTCTCACGGCAGCAGCAGCAGCAGCAGCGGCGCCAGCACCAGCACCAGCACCAGCACCAGCTCTAGCAACTCTTCAGTTCTATGGCGGTGAAAGCCGAGGAAAACCCGCAAGCACATCTTTTCCACATGAAAGACTGATGGCCACACGAAGACATGTGAGAAAGAAAGGCAGGCGCCAGACGGCCACCCAGGCTGAGAGGGAATCATGTCCCATGAACTCCAGACAGGCCCAGCCATCTGTGCCAGGAAGGCAGCAATGGCTGAGCCTGTGTGAGTTTTCAAGTACTTGTATGCATCATCAGCATGACTGTAAGTGTGCTGTGAGAGGATGCTTGACAAAGCAGGTTGTCCGAACCTTTCTTGGCTGAGCCACCAGGTAGGTGCGTGCATCGTCAATGGACGAAATCGAATCGTTGGAGTAGGCTAGTTTGGCGAGTTTGAGTTAAGTTTGATGTGTGAAAGCTGTTTGGCGTGATGTGGCGTACACATGGCGTGCGTTGCAGGCTACAACGGCATGCCCAGCAATTGTTCCAACGACGAGCTTCCGTGGGGGAAAAAATCACACGAAGGCGCCGGGCTGGGCGGTGCAGCGCGGCTGCCAGGCTGTTTTGGGAGATTGATTTTGGGCCCCTGGCAGCAGGGCGTTCGTGACATTTTGGTGTTTTATATTATATTTGTTATTCTTTGGTGAGGCCTTTTGTCGACCAAGTACCCTTATGACCGGTGCTCAGACAGCACTTGAACACAAAGGTTTTGAGATGTGATGGAATGAACCGATGAGATTGACAAATCGAGGTTGTGCATGCGGAACTGAATGCCGTTTTGAACAAAAATGCAGAGAGTGCGGCGGGCTGCAGGAGTGGGAAAGACGCCCCATTTTCTCGGTTCTTTGAACGTTGAAAAAACAATTCTTTGAGGCAAAAGTGACGAGGGGATTTCATTTTTGTGCTTTCAAAGCAGAACTGAACCCTGAGGAAAGGTCTGTTCTTTTTCGACACGCGTGTGTTCCCGAACATATGGCACGAACAGCTACCTGTGCTGGGGAAACGTGGAGAAATACAGGAATGAGGAACTCAAATCAATTGTAGACTTTGAATTGCTCAAACAGTGCCACAGCTTGTTCGAAATTTTCAAGCAGGCCAGTGCCTTTAGAGCGTTGAATGCGACACTGACAACTCTGTCGCAACGTGGCAACTGTGTGCGAAACAGTGTCCTTCGGGCGTTCAAGTGTCCTTCTTCGGCAAGGGCTGCCACAAAAACTGCCCGACTTCTTCGTTCTCCTTAAACTTCCAAACGCAGGGTTTGTTTGCGATCGGTCTTTCCTTGTTTGCTTCGCGCTGTTTTGTGTAAGTCAGTTCCCACGCAAGTTCTTCACGCCGTACATTTCTGTCTTACCTTAAGCTTCGGACATTCAGAGTTTTCGTTACATTTCTCCGTAGATCTCTAGAGACTTTTCTGTCCTTGTATTATTTTCAATACCTTTTTTGAATCCGTTCGTCTCTCTCTCTCTCTCTCGACACTTTGGATATCCTTCCTTCCTTCCTTCCTTCCTTCCTTGATTCCTTGCTTCCTTTTTTATGTTTCTGATTTTCTTAATGGGGCCGGTAGACATTCCTTCCTGGCGTCCTGTCTTTCTTCTTCGCTAGACCTTCAGGCTCTTCTTGCTTTCTTTCTTTTCTTTCTTTCTTTCTTTAATACATTCTTCCTCCCTATTTTTTCTTTTTCTTCAGGCAAATTTCTGTGCCTATTTCTGCACATATCTCGTTGGAGCTCCACCAAATCTCGGAGCTTTGCGCAGCCAACCTTGGAGGATCTATACCACCTTGTTCCCTTGCAACGAATGTGCCAAAGTCATTATTCAGGCCGGACCGGTGCATATTCGGGCGCCCGTTTTGATGCTGGTTGCACTGTTGCGAAAAGGAACGAGCCTTGACAGAGACAGTCCACCAAACTTGGAATACTTGGTGAGAGTTTGCAACAGCACGTCACCACCAGTTCGTGAGGGGTCTTTGCAGTTGGACGCACTGAACCGCGCCGACAAGGTGCACCTTTAGCCTCGAGCAGTTGTGAAAAGGCGTTTCGTCCTTCCGCTCACGCTTCGCCTAGTTGGCAGCGGAGCCTTTCCTTGGCCTCCGACTGCCGTCGTTCGTGCGCGCCGTGCCGCTGGTGCCGCGCGGTCTTGGTCCTGACCAGGACCAGCCGCTGCTTGACGCTGGCGCTGCTGGCGCTCCATGGCGGCCGCCTCGCTTTGTTCAAGCCCCGCTTCAAGCCAGAGAGGAGCCAACGAACCTGACTTCGTCGACCTCACCTTCGATGAGCTGTGGACATGCCGACGGTGCGGCTCCTGGGACTATGAATGGAGTGCGCTGTGGCAGCTGTGGATCGACCTTGTTTTCTCCACAGCCTTCCATGGCCACTGATCCGGCCGCTGGTATGAACGGCAGATGGTGTTTCGCTCCCGGCGGACCATGGAACTTTGAGCCCAATGAACCCACCTTTGCACCAGGTAGCGCTCCGACTATGTCATGGGGTATTCCAAGGGGAGCAATCCTTGGACCTTGTAGAGTATCCCATGGACCCGAACGTGTACACCACCTGACGCCGGTCCTGACGGACCTTGGGATGGCTCTCAAAAGGAAGGATCTGAGAGTGAAGCTCCACCCCATGATCCAGGTGTGATCCCAAGCGACTTGGCTGCGCCTGAGACCTCACCTTCAGGCACTCTTCAACGGCCTCCCGCAGGAGGAGACGCCGACGACGTGGCGGCCCTGGCAGCCCTGGCGTAGACCCGCCAGGTGGTGATGATCATGGAGACCCTCCAGGACCGCGACAACCTGATCTGCCGCTTGGATCACCAAATGCCACTCGGCCTAAAGGAGCAGGCCCACCTTCAGATCCACCTTCAGGAACCCCCGCAACTTCATGGAACAGCGTGAAGGGGCCTATGGCAGGCCTGAAGTTTCGTGGAGGTCAGCCTCCACAGCCTCCACCATGGCGCCACGATAAAAGCGACTTGGCAGCATTCCGCAAGTGGCGGAAACGGGTGGAGATGTGGTCACTACAAGTTGTGAACTATGTCCCAAAACGGGAAGCGGGCATTTTGCTGTTCAACTCCCTCAAGGGGGAACTCGAAGAGGAGCTCGAGGACGCAGCAGTTGAGAAGATATATGACCCTGAAGGGGTGAACTTCATCGTGGACACCATCCAGGCCGTAGAGACCCGGACTGTCCATTTGAAACGCCAACTGCTGGCGACCTATGAGCGCATCTATCGCAGCCCCACCGAGACCATGATGAGGTCCTTTTTGTCAACCGCTACCAGCGCGCCGCGGTCCTTGGCCACCAAGGTGGAACAGATGTACGATTCAGAGGCTCGCGGGACGAGGCTCCTGGAGAGATCCAAACTGTCTCCAGAACACCAACGACAGGTGTTGATTGACACCGGCCAGTCATTAGAGTTCGACACGATCAAGGAGGTGCTCCTTTGCCAATGGCCGGAGCATCGACCTCTACCACCTTCTTTGGCTCCGCATGACCGGAACGGCAAGGGCGGCCACCGACAACAAGGCCATTCGACCTTCACTTCCAAGGGTCGGAATAAGGGGAAGCCCTACGCCAAGCAGACCCTCGTGTCCGAGGCACCAGAGCCAATCGAAGAAGAGCCCACACTGCAGAATGACGATGACGACCCCACTGACATCCCAGATTACCAGGACCCGGACGAGGACGACGGCGAGAATGAAGCGCCGCTGGAGGAGGACGATGTTTGGGAGGACCCTGAAGTCCAAGAGATCCTGAGCGTGACCGCGAAGAAACTTGCAGGCATGATGCAGGCCCGCAAGTATGGTTCCTCCAGCAGCGGACCGCCCAAAAGGAGCATAGCTGATCACATGCGCAGCACTCACTGCTCCGCCTGTGGTCAACAAGGACACTGGGTCAGCAGCAAGGGCAAGGGCGGCAACGCCAAGGGCTCCAGCAAAGGAGATGGAAAGTCCGGCAAGAACCCGAAGGCTGTGCACTTTTTGAACCACTACGGTGGTCGCGACGATGAGGAGGCAGATGATAGCCATCACACCTCCTATGCTGTGTACGTCTCACATCTCGTACCCAGCCACCAAGTTCATTTGCTCGATGCCACAAAAGCCGCTGGTTATGTGATCATCGATACGGCGTGTCAACGTTTGTGTGCCGGAATGTGTTGGTTCGAGGCCCAAAAGAACAAGTTGCTTTCCTGGAGCATCACACCACTGGAACTCCCCACCTCTGAGTATTTCGAGTTTGGGAAAGGGAAGCCAATCCACGCCACGTTTTCGATGTTCTACCCGGCACAGTTTGGTCAGCGCATCTGCATCTTGGCACCATGTATTTTGGAAGCAAGCATCCCCTGCCTAGCAAGTCGCACATGGCTCCAAGATGTAGGTGCTGTGATCGACCTCCCCAAGAACACGGTCTATTTCCATGTGTTTGACATCAGCATCCCCCTGGTCATGGTCAATGGGCATGTGGGTTTGAACCTTTCTCACCGCAACCATCAGCAAGCGTGTTTTGATTTTTGGCATTTGCATCAAGATGCAATCAATTGAAGTCGACAGCCCCGCCGGGTAAGTCGGGGTGGAACCCTGCACCGGATGCAACTCGACCGCCCTCCGCCACCTAGATGAATGTACTTGGTGAAGATGGTCACCAGCTGGGCTCGCGAGGCGCAGAGATTCCTTTGACTACCGGAGCGCCGAACTGTGCCGACAGGCTCCAAGCCCAAGAGCAAGGGATTGAAGGACAAGCCGGTGACCACCTACACCGCCAGCAGCGATTGCGCCCACCGCCATGTGAAGAGAAGCGGCAATCGCCGCTCAATGCCTGGACTGCCTGGTCAAATGGAAGTGGAACCCTCAGCTGCACGGATGGGAACACTTCATCGCGGCATCCAGTTCCTCACAGTTGCCACCGCCTTCCTCGGAAACTGTCTTGGATCGTTCCTGGACGGAAGTTCCAACATCCGGATACCCGGAGACCACCGAGGAGCAGCTGCCTCTTCCACCTTCTCGGACTACAGCCTCGACCAAGACTTCGGCGCGGACCTCGACAAGACCTCAGGTCCGATCAGGCGAGAACGGGGAAGAGGGACTTCACGGCAGACTATACCATGTGGGACATGCTCCAAGGGCACCAGATGAGGCATGGAGCACCGCCGATTCAGCCACCGGACACTTCCCACCTGGACCTGGAGGAACTCATGGAGCGAGATCTGGAACAGCAAGGGTCAGCCGATCCGCAAGCTGTATCAATGGCTCACCGACTCCGCCGACATCGCTGAGGCCCTCTCCAAGAAGATGTCCCCAGATGAGCTGACGCAATGCGTTCCCCTCATCGGCAAAGAGGTGAGACGCAGTGCACGATATCCACAACGATTGTGCAGGGCAACCCTCAGAGCTTTGAAGACAGAAGCACGGAGAAGATGGCCACAACGCTTCATCCGGCTCAATGAAGTGCTCTACTAGGAACCCATGCAAGATCCTGCCGCTGGATGGACGTGATCAACAAGACCAAGCGAGTTTTTGAGATGACTTCAGTCCGGAGCCTCAACCTCCCGGACAACGACCCTTTGCGCAAGGACATCAGCAACCTGGTACCATGGGAATTGGTGCGCATCCAATTGGCATGTGCACCGGCGCAACGAAGGCTTCCACAGGACATTTTGTTCACACATCGTGGAGCCGCCACCAGGACGGCCAGATAACCATCGAGTCTGAGTCCCTGGACGGCATGCACTTCCCCAAGCAGAAGTTCAGCAAGGGCGTCTCCTGCAATCTTCTGGTTTTGCTATGGCGAACCACTGGAAGCTCCAGCACAACAGCCCTCCAAAAGTCAGCCTGCTGAAGTACAACCAGGTGAGACGCCGCAACCGGCACTGGCACCGTCCAAGCCACTGGAAGTTGTGACCTTCAAGAACTGTCCCAACGACGTCCCCAAGGAGGTTTGCTCAGCAGTGAAGAGATTACACCTGAATTTGGGACACCCTTCTGAAAGGGAACTGCTTCGCCTCCTCGCCTATCAGGGAGCCATCTCAAAGCACATGATCACCGCTGTCAAGCACCTTCACTGTGCAAGCTGCAGCCGCAACAAGCCGCCACTGAAGCCAAGACCTTCGGCTATGCCAGTGGCGAATATGGGCCAGTTCAATGACACCATCCAGACCGACGTCTTCTACTGCCGAGATGTGGTTGGAGGCAATCATGCCATTCTGGGCATCAGATTGACCAGTCAACTTTGCTGCACCAAGCCTGCCGGCTCAAAGACATGTCTTCAAACCACACCCTCGACATCTTCCGCAACCCCGGAACGGTCAGACCTGACCCTGGCACCAACTATGGCCTTCACTTCAAGCAGTACCTTGAGCGCCACGGGATATGGTTAGAAGTGATCCGGCTGAAGCCCACTGGCGCATCGGCCTGATTGAGAGAAGAAACAGCGTCCTTCGGGACATCCTCGAAAGGATCATCGATGCAGAGTCCATCTACGACCTCGAGGACTTTGACCAGGCACCTGAGGCCGCCATCTTCGCCCTCAACAGCATGACCTACAGCCATGGCAGACCGCCATACATGGCCGTCTTTGGCCAGATCCCAAGAATCGGCACAGGACACCAGCCTGGTATGTCACCCAGAACACCAAGGCGCTGTTCGACCAGAGATCCTCAGGGCCGAAGCAATGAAGGCACTGGCTAAGGTCAACACCAGTCAAGCGCTCAGACGCGCCCTCCTTCGCAAAACGGCAACAGGCCACCAGATGACTTTGGAGCCCGGGCAAAACTGCGCCTACTGGCGATGGCAAGTGCCCAAAGGATGCTCCACCAAGAAGAAGGGAGCATGGATTGGCGCAAGGTTCCTCTCCTACGAACCAGATGGCAAAAGCGCCTGGGTACACAGTGGCACAACCACCGTCCATGTGGCACTGGAGCAACTTCGCGGAGCCGTCGTCTTTGAACAATGGCAACCAAGCAAAGAGGACATCTCAATCCTCAAGCAAGCAGCCAACAGCATCCGCCACAAGCAGGGGAACATGGAGGAGGAACAGCGCGAACCGCCGAACCACCGGCTCAGCCAGAACCAGTAATCCACGCGCAGCAATAACAGCAGAACACGCAGCAGCACGTTGAAAACCGTCTGCGACAACAGCAGACAACGACAAACCTGCAGGTAGGAGACCTACACTTTCCCTCCTACCCAGCATCACCTGCACCGGGAGATGTCACACCACTTGACTATCACCCCCGGCGCTTTGGTCTGACACGCACTGCCAGATCAAGAACACCTACAAACCGCAGGCTGACACCACGAGGAGGACGCACACCTGGCACTCCTCGAGCGTCAGCAAGCGCACCAGCGTTGGGGCGACACGGTACCTCCAGCACCACCAGTGAGGTACGCGGCACCACATAGAACTGCATCTACCGGCGCTCGACAACCGAGTGTACAAGCAGAGGCAATATACAAACACCAGCTCAAGCAACAGCTGGAACACCGGCAGAGCTCGCATCAGGCTCAAACACAACCATTTACTCAAGCCCAGCCGCAAGCTTAGCAGAACAAGCCTCAGCAGCAGCGTCACAAGTACAGGAACAACAAGCATCGGCAGCTGCACTACAGGCACCAGAACAGTCCGCACCCAAGCAGGAAGCACTGCCCACGCTTCCACAGAAGCGCACGCGCGAAGCAATGCTCGCACACCTGTTGAGCCACCGCATCACACCTGGGATGGCTCCAGAGACATGCCACTTTGCAGGGCATCACAGCACCCAGTTTGCTGCAGCAGCAGTACAGCTACTCCAACAGGAAGGACACTCTGTCTTCCTCACCGACCTCCAAGCCGCCGGCGAGTCAGATGCAGAATCCTCAGATCCTGACCAGCCAATCGATCCTGCGTCAAGGCTCAACAGCCGCAAAGAAGCCAAGGCCCTGGAACGTGAAATTCCATGGCGCCAAATCCTCAAGATGAGCCCAGAGGATCCAGGCCTTCATCGAGTCGGCCAAGAAGGAGGAGCGGGGATGGATGAGTTGGGGTTGTGGATCGCATCCCATCCGCCGCAAGCGAGTGCTGAGAAGCAGAGCCTGCTATCGAAACAAAAGCAGGATTCCTGGAGTGCTCACTGCAAAGGCAAGAGTTGTGGCACTCGCCCACCTGCGCCGAGATCTTCATCGGATCTCCAGGGACAGCCCCACTCCAACGCGCACCTCAGAGTACCTCCTACTCTGCATCTACACTGCAGGTGCCAACAAGCTCATGGAGCGCGAGCAGATGGCTGGATTTTCTGGATGAGATCACCATCAAACCTACCACGTTCAAGGCCAGATTGTACAAGGTGCTCAAGAACATATACGGGCTCGCCTCGGCGGCCCGTACCTGGTTCAAGGAAGTGGTGCGCAGGATGACCTCCATCCAATTCGTCCAGCGCCACCTCGACCGCATGCTCTTCTACAAAAGGCAGCGCGACAGGCTGATGGCAGTTTGCATCGTCTACGTGGACGATTTCCCCCTCACCTGCCGCAGTGACTACAACAAAGAGGAACTGCTTCAGCTCTTCTCATGGGGCAGCCAAAAGCAACTCAGCCTCCAAGAGCCTCTCGAGTTCAAGGGGAAGGAACTGCAGCTCACTGACCACCACGGCGCCTTCCACCTCCTGGTCACTCAGACCAAGTTCATCGACAACACCGACGCAGGCAAGCTGCAGAAAGGAAGGATCAGCCAGGGTGGACCCCTGACAAGTGCAGAGCAGGCTGAATTCCGGTGAGTCACCGGATCGCTCCAATGGCTCTCAAGCCAGACGCGCCCAGACATTGGCGCGTGGGTGTCCTTGACCAACAAGGGCAGCGAGACAAGCCCGGCCGATTTGGCAATGCTCTACGAGACCTTGGAGTACTGCCGGGACACCAAGGACAAAGGGCTACGCTTCCAAGACGTGGCCGTCAATCGACATTCAATGATCGTCAGCTGCGCACACGCCTCTTGGGCCAATGCGCAACAATGCTCCTCACAACAGGGATGTTTGGTCTTGCTCACCACATCCCACTGCACCGAAGTCAACACCCGGTGCAATGTCATCGACTGGCGCAGCAACAGATCCACACGGGTCTGCAGAAGCACCCTATCCAGCGAAGCCATGTCCTGCGATGACTGTGTGGCTTACTTTGTGAGCCTGGCCCTGAGCGAGCTCCTGAGCGGGGAGGTTCCAAGCAAGGAGATGACCCTGGCGGCTCACTCAGCTGCAAGTCACAGACTGCAAAAGTCTCTTTGGCGCAGTCAGTGCAGAGCACCCAAAGCTCACAGAAAAGAGGACGTACATCGACATCAGGTCCATCCAGCAGTTCATCACCACTGGCGCTATGAGATGGTGTCCAACCTCGGTGATGTGGGCGGATGGCCTCACGAAGGCCAGCAAAGCGCTGCGGCAAGGCTGAGAGCCTGGTTGGACTTTCCTTTCACCCAGCTCACTGAGCCCTCACGAAAAGAAAGACCCACGAATGAGAGTTTGCAACAGCGCGTCGCCACCAGTTCGTGAGGGGTCTTTGCAGTTGGACGCACTCAACCGCGCCGACAAGGTGCACCTTTAGCCTCGAGCAGTTGTGAAAAGGCGTTTCGTCCTTCCGCTCACGCTTCGCCTAGACTTGGTAATACGTGGGTTTTCCATCCGAATACACAAGATAAAGCCGCAAAGTCCGATGCGAGTTGAAATTCGGCAAACGCAATGATGAAGCGTGTGTGACAGATGCAAACTAGAATACCTTTGAATATTGTAAACAAAAATTGTATTTTTTAGAAATGCAAGATCTTGTAAACATGTACTGAGACTGAGACTCGACTTTCATCCACCACGTCCGACCCATGTCTGACCATGTCCCTGTCCTGAGGCTGGAATCCAACAGGTCATCTATGCATCAGTCCGAAGCTCAAAGTCACGAAGAGAGAATGGCTCATCGAGAAACGAACAACGCAAGTCAACACTTTGATAAAAGGTTTCTGGAAGAAAGAGTTTCTGGAAGAAACGGACATTCGTCGAGGACAAGCACTCAGACCGGATGAGTGCAAGAGCTTCTCGGCGTTTGTTCGACCTTGCTGGGGTTGAAATGTCTTGCTCTGAGAACCCCCGAGGGGGTTGTGCATTTCGTGTCGCTTTTGGAAACAAGCGCCACGCTACTAGGAACAAGTGCCTTACTAGTAGTAACAATGTTCGCTACTAGAAGCAAGAATGCTTGGGCTTGCATTTTCCGTCACGATTTCGAATCCCCTCGAGGCGACAGTTTGTGCCAGAGAAGGACTCGGTGAATTCACAAGTCCGGTAGACAACGTTCTTTCACGCACAAAAACATCGCACACATCGCACGGAAGCTCCATTTGGCAAGTGACTCCTTAAACAAAATATCAATGACGAAAGACCAGTACTAGACTCTGTCAATACACCCCACAACCTGCAGTCCTACACTCTGCAGCTTTCTTATTGAAAGGCATCTTTGTTTCTACACAGTCAGGAAAAACCACTCTGTGGCATCCACTCTGTTTCAAAGAAGAAAAACGTAGGGCTTCAAGGAAGCTCCCTCGCCTTGGGGAGCTTCGCAGCCGCTACTAGCTACTTAAGCTCACCTCACGACCTACCTAACGACGACGTAACTACCAACGACCTCCATTCTTTGCTTTGACAACATTCATCTAAAAACCGCCCTTCGATTCTTGTTTCTTGCGCCCGATTTGGAATTGCCAGGATCTTCTGGCGCTTCCACTTCGGTACGACTTTTCTCGGCATTTTACACTTAGCAAAAGACTTGACCTTTAAGCTCTTGGAACAAGCTTTGTAGCTTTCAGATTGTCATTCTAGGTATGTGGAAGATCAACAATCAGCTCCTCGAACTTCTCCACTTGCTCCAGTTGCTCCAGTTTCCTGTTGCGGAGGCAAAGCTGACATGCTGATGTTTCTGCGGATGCACATGTCGCATCACATTTTTTCATAAAAATGCACTTTTGTTTTTTAGGTCACTTGGGATCCGGAACTGGGCGAGACGTGAGCGAAAGCGGCTTGGGTCACTTGGTCGCTCTTTGAATCGGGTTGACTGAGACGAGAAGAGAAAACGAATTGGATGAACTTGGTCTTTTCCTTTGCCCTTTTCGGAAAGGCGTATGTGTTTTTTTACTTTTTCCCTTAATGAGATCAAGAATTCCCGGCAGAATGCAGGGCTCAATCTCTGGAGCTGGGAGTGGTGCACAGTTCGCTCCAAAACCGTACCGGAATTCCATCGTGGAACCGGTGCTGTCTGGGCTGGGAGTGGTCCTTTGTCTGGGCTTGACCGACCGAAATTCCATCCTTGTGTGCTGCGTTTGGGGGGGGGCAGACAAAGATATGATTTTGGTGCTCAGTGCCTTGGAAACGGACCTTAAAGGATCTTACTTATTACAAGCAGTTCCCAGGCAAGCCGGCGGCGGAAGTTTCCTATAAAAACAATCTGACCTATAGGAGTGTCCCTGCGCACATGCCCTGCAGACCCCCTTTTTTCCCGGCCCGCAGCGATGGCGTCATGCAAGCAGCCGACGACGGCGTACGGTACTGTGCATTCGGGTCACACCACCGCACGTCGGAGTGAATGTAGTTACACAGGACTCCGAATTTGCATGTACAACCTGTCATACATGCGCAACCAGAGTCTTAACAATGAATGCGACCAAAGACTGTAAGTATGAACTGTGCCAAAAACTTCAACCATAAGTACAAGCTGACCTGTTAACAAACTAGACGACAGGGTGGCCCGAAAGCATAGTAGGAGTAAGCATTATATCGAAAGGGTTGCAAACGAGAACGAATCTGAGGGATGAACCGTTTGTCGGTAACCATCAATCATCCCGCTCATGTCAGAGCACATGCTTTCACCTTTGATTCACTTTCGCATGCCGTTGAGCCAGCTTTGTGTCCGAAGGGACCCCTTTTGCCCGAGCCTTTGTGAGAGGCCCTACGTATACGACGCCGCTTCTTGTGCCGCCATAGGTGGCTACTTCGCCTCGCGACTTTGAGGCCTGTGCCGATCCTCGAGAGGAGGACAGAAAAGAGACCGGCGATTTCACTTTGGCTTGACCCTCAGTTTTGCGCTTTTGTCTTGGTGACCTTTCACTTCTTGGTTCTGTTACCAATCTCGCAACGAGATTGGTAGCGGAGCCTACGGGCTCGCTTCCTGGGACTACTTCCGCCCTACGCTTTGCTAGAACTACATCGTGCACTCCTTGCGTTGCGTGAGCCTTGAAGAATAACATGGAGAAAGATGACAAGGAGAAATCCTGGAAGTTCTCATGGGACGGTGATGTGAGCACCTTTCAGGACTATGTCCGCCGTGTGAGATTGGCTTTCTCGAGAACCAAGAGGAAGCATCGCAAGCGCTTGGCTGCTGACCTGGTTGGCCAACTGACCGGCCGAGCTTGGACGGTCACTCAGGAGATCAGCCATGAACGACTGGTCAAAGACGATGGAGCCAAATACTTGGTCTTGTTCCTTGAAGAACGCCTGGCACGAATTCCGGTCCCAGACGCCGGATCTCGCGCTGAAGAGCTGTTTGTGAAGCTTCGTCGACCCCATGGCATGTCAATGTCTTCCTGGTGTTCACTGGTGCGTGAGTCCTACCGCCAGCTTCAGAGAGCTTTGAAGCGTGCTCGACCTCTCGACGAAGTACCTGAACCTAAGGACAAGGAGAACACACCGACATCACCGAAGGCACCAACAACCTCCCCTACCTCGTCTATGGGTCGATCAGGGAGAAGGACGAGCGACGATGAGGCCTCAGATCCTCAGTCACCAGTGGACGATGAGGATGAAGACTCTGAATTCATAGACTTTGAAGCCAGAGGCAGAAAAGGCAAAGGCAAGAGATCTCCAACCTCCCGTTCTTCCGATGATGAGGATATGCAATGGGCTGTGAAGCTTTGAGACGAACTGGACTCGTCTTTGCCTGAGGTGCTACCTACAGTTGGTTGAATGGCTGATGCTGAGACGTATCGGTCTTTCAGCTCAACAGCGCCTCAACATCCTCGCCAGTGTTAACCATAGCTTGAAGGCCGATGACGTGGAGAAAGGGCTCAAGAGGACCCGAGGAAGAACTTCGTCGTCGTGAACGGGAACATGAAGGTCGAGGAAAAGGCAAAGGTGGTTTTCGTTCTCGCCCAAGAGCCAACTTTTGGGTAGAGCAAGACGGAGAATGGGGCCTGATGGCCGTTGATGATGCTGATGCTCTTGAATGGCTCGATCAGGCCCTTCATTGGGTCGGCCGCGATGTCAACGCGGTCTATGCATCCCCTCCCCTGGACGAGAAGAACCACAAGTTTGCAGAGCCACCGAAGGTGTCAGAGAGCCATGGTTTCTGGCACCAGGATGATGATGGGGGACACACCTTTTGGGCTGCCGCTGCTGATGGTGACTACTACCATCAAGATGCTTTCGGAACGTTTTGGGCTTGGTCGACCTACGATGAGGACCAGGCGTGGTACTCGGCCTCGCCAACAGAAAGAGAATCCAAGATGCTTGCGCGGCATATGAGCAGAAGGTTCGCTCGTTTGCCGAATCTCGCGCCTTGCTCAAGAACCGCAATCTGAGTAGAGGTTTCTTTCCGCGAAAAGGGGGCAAGGGCAAGTCCAAGAACACCAAAGGAAAAGGAAAGACACCCTCACCTTCTACCACCTTTTTGGCCGACTCCCCTGCCGAGAGCTTTGCCGCTGTAGGTACCCCTGGGTATACAGGCTGCTGTGTTTGCGGAAGCAAGACGCATGATTTTCGTTCAAAAGATGTTCCGTTTTGGAAATGGTTCCATGCAGTCTTCAGAGAGCTATGTGTTACTCAAACAGTCAGTTGGAACACATGAGATTGACCTTGGCGCGTTCACTTTGGACGCAAGAGGAGTTCCGCTCCTGCTGGGAGTGAAGACACTTGAACGGTCAGGAGCCATCCTAGACATCCAGCAAAGTGTGATGATACTCAAGACAGTAGACCAAAGTTAGTCATTCCCTTGAAGCGCTCGAAGACTGGACACTTGCTGGCGAAGGCGGAGCGCCTGCGGATGAAGAAAAGGTGTTCGCCATTGACGAGATCGTTTCGTTTGACATGGTGCATGCTCCTTCCTTTCCCTGTTCAAGAGTGTTTTGGAAATCCTCTTTTACCTCCTGCCCTTCTTTTTCGGATTTGACCATGTCGTTGCGGAGCATTTCATTTGCGAGTCAAGAGAACTGCACCATTTTTGAGAAAGAGATGTCACTGAACAGCCACCATCTTTCGACAGTGCAGTCAAGTTCATCGATGGCATGTGCAGTCCATACTCTGTTCCAGTTTTGGAAGATGAGTGTCAACCACCTGTTTTGGAAGTGCCAGAAGAGCCTTGTGAGACAACATTCACCATCAGTGCTTTGGATCCTCAAGGGATTGACCGAATGAGTCTCAGATTCTTTGCCTTCCTCACATCCACCTCTCTCGCTGCTTTGCGTCAGGCAACTGCTCCTTCAACTCCGGTGAAAACCAGCCCTTCGAAGAAGACCGCGGGCTACAGCAAGGCCCAGAAGCAGTTTGCGTTGGTGAAGACAGAGATTGGTGAGTTCGAGGTGGACACCATGAAATTCGATGTGGACCGAGCAGCAGGCCCGGATTCGACAAATTGTCGAATGCTGGGCGAGCCATGTCAGGGAGCTCACGAACCTGCTCCACAGGGTGGATCCCCCACGGGGAGCAACGCATGGGCCTACTGGGTAGCTACGGTAGCATGTCAGCGCTGCCAACTACGACTTCTCAATGTGCCGAGCTACGGCTCTCACGGTCTGACTTGTCAGGCCGGCCCACTGCCCAGCGACTCGAAGAGCAAGGTGAAGGAATTGGGCAACGACGCGCGGCCTACCACCCGGACCTCCGCAACAAGCAAGTGGGACTCGACGCAGCGGAGAAATCCATGCAGAAACGACTGGCAACGATTCGCGAGCAGAAGGCCAAGTACAAGACAGCTTCCATGCCCAAGAGTCCAGACAAGACCGAAGGTCACCTGTCGCATTCTCCAACGACCCAGGTGATCCACGTGGACGAGATGAACGTCACTCCTGGTCGGAAAGCTCGGAAGCCAGGGTTGCCAGCCGAGGAGATGGAGTACCAGGTTCGGGAACTTCTTGGAGTGCTGTTTCGGGGACACCTTTATCCCCGAACCAGTGAAAGGAGAAATCTATGAGCCTGAGGATTTCAATGCTCAGGACGATGAGGTCATGCCTGACTACTTGCAGGACCATGTGCTCTTCCACAAGCAGGAGATAGTCGATGAGTACGTGCTTGAAGAGACCTTCAGCAACCATGTGATGCTGAACCTCACGATCGATCAACTGAATGACATCAAGCAGGAATTGTTGGCAAGTCAAGATGCCTTCGAAAGCTGCTGTCACCGACTCCCTGACGAACATGATCGCTATGAACTCATGGAGCTTTGTTGTGAACGGGACAGCCTTCTGAGTGCGACTTAGGAGAAAGGAGGTGGAAGAGCAGGTCGACTTGGCCTGCGCAATGGATGTGATCTCATGACCGAAAAGGGAACTTTAGAAGCTCTTCGACAAGTTGCTCTTCACAAACCCAACGTCTTATGGGTTTCCTTTCGTTGCGGCGCTACTTCACCTTTGCAGCGCCCGAACGAGTTGACAGAAGCTGACTGGCGCAAAAGCCAGAAACGAAAAGCCAAGTCTAGAAGACTTGTGAGAAATGGACTCCGTGTAGTGAACCTTCAACTGTGCCAAGGAGGAGAAGTGATCCAAGAGTGGCCACGCTTCAATGAAGCTTGGCAATTCCACTCAATCGTTGAGCTCTGGAAAGCATTGTCTGCCATAGATCGTTGTGAAGATACTCTTTTGGACGGCTGCATGTATGGGCTCAATGATGGACAAGGCCATTTTCTCAAGAAGCCTTGGCGTCTGAGGTGCACAAAGCCTGGTCTTCTCCGACCTCTTCAACGACTTTGCGCTGGACAGCGTGCCCACACTCCTGTGATTGGTGGACAACTTGCTCGCCGCACTGCGCTCTACACTCCTG